CGGCGGCTGATGGTAGAAAGAGATTTCGGGGTTTTCTTCGACATTTCATCAAAACCGACACAACTCATATGACGATTTCGAAAACACTGAAGGACATCTGGACATATGAAGGAATTACAAATTACAAATTTTTATTTGGGAAGTTTTTGACTTAGCGTCCTCTACTGGACTAATGTATTACTATTACGGGTTAACGTTTTGGTGGTTGTATAAAGATGTCCCAAAAATAAAATAAAAGTACAAGAAAGAATTAAGGTAAAATCAAAAAATATTCTACGTTATCTAAAATATAAAAATATGGGAATCCCCGATTTTCTACATATATTGCAGGTAGTAAATTTATACGACGCCGTATATACCTGGCGGCGTATTTCCATAATATACCATATAGAGAGCATAGGGTCTCTAAGCTCCGCCTTCAAGCTTAGTTTAGGATTGAAGATGTCTTTAACACGGTATAGAATGGAATAGGACAACGCGCCAAATGTGGTATAGTATGGAGTCGCCTTCTCAGCGTTACAACGTGATATATGTCACATTCTTAGTCACATCTTGTATTTTGCATTGAATTAGGCAGTTTGCGAAACAAACATCGGCGCATGCGGCAGCAAGCACTTACACTTAATTTTTCAATTCATTGCTAGATGGCCTTTTACTAGGGATGCACTGCAAACAAATATTCCAGCAAAACCAAAGTGTTTCTTTTTATTCTAACAAATTAATTACCTGTAAAACTGTATAAATAAAATAGGCCTTCGATTTAAATAAAGATCGATTATACCAAAAGATCGTTTGATAAAAATCGATCGATTTGATAAAAATCGATCTTCGATTAAAATCGATTCGAATCGTACATCCCTAGTGTGGTGTGTAGTTTAAGGTTATGTTTAAGGTTATTCGTGGGTTATTAAACTCGCACAAAACAGAAAACAACAAAAAACAATGCCAAATAAACCTGTAAAAAAGTACTTTTATTATTTAAAATGAAATATCATATAATTCAGTTGGTATACGAGTATTTTTTGATTTATTTGTAATGTTTTGCGTCAAAAATATGTGAGAAATGAGGTAAACAGTTTAAATGTCTTAATAAATTCGTTTTTAATTTATTAACCTTTCAGGTATTTACCTAATGATAGGAAGAAATTAATTATGTAATGGTAGGAAAAATAATTTCACTTTAATTACGTATTAGAAAATCAGTAATCTTCCATTTGGATGCATCAATGGAGAAGAAGGCAATTGTCAAAAATCTCAGTAACACTGTTGTAATTATGTACTCCCTGTGGTCTTATTAAGCATAAAGTTTTGTTTTACATGAAAATAATTATCCCATTTAATTATGCATTAAATTTTAGTGTCAGCTTATTGATAGCTCGATTACCAGTCAAATAGTTTCGATGTTTTCTATACTATGAAGAAAATTTGATCTGATTAGATTAATTCAGATGTAAATTTATGTTATACGTTAAGATATTTTTAAACAAACCAAGAAAGTTCTCTTCAGACAAGTTCTGGTCTGAAATTGCAAATATTAACGAAAAAGTTATACATGTAGTTTTCTATTCATAAATGATATTATTGATTTTATTCTAAGCTTTGGGTGGTGTGGAATTTTGCAAGTAGGACTTTTTAAGTCTTTCTAGTCGATGTGGCAACAGCGGGCGGCGAACAAGCCGAGATCCGCGAGATTGCCGATTTCCCCCGGCGGCTCGGGGTCGCAATTTTTTTTTAAACTTTCAAAGTTAAATAACTCGGTTATTTTCAATTTATTTTAAAAATGGTAAAGAGAAAATATGTTTGTTTTGGCCAGATCTACCACCCCTTAAAATATCTGAACTCGTTTCTGGGACACCCTGTATAAAATGACAGCGATCTTCATTTCATAGCCATCGCTGATGCCGTTTTTTATCATACGGTATTATTTTACACAAATGAATATTACTGTTTATGCTATCAAAAGTAACGCCAGTAATTCGACTACGAACTATACCCGATTTTGGCGCATTTCCTCTATTCCGTTCTATAGCCGTGTTAGAGACATCTTATTACTGCTGAACTAAGATTGTGGGCGGGGCTTAGAGACCTTATGTTCTCTACATGGTATATTATGGAAATACGCTACCGGGTGCGTCTCAAAAGTGGCTCACCCCTATTACTTTTTTATTTTTTTAGATAAAAAAATGAGATTTGGTATGTTAGTATATGACATAAATTAGGATTGATTGGACGTATTCAACTGTTTTCTGTCACTTCCTGTTTCACCGGAAATGACTACAATTTTTTATTTTTAAATGGCACCCTCGGTATTTTTTTTTACTTTATTCGATAGAAAATGACATTCTAAATAGAATGACGTATCATATGTCAACTTTTGACATATTCGCTTAAAAACAAATTGTATTTTAACTTTCAATCTAGAGTGCCATAGCTGTGTTAAAAACACTAACTTTTAATCAAGGAGCCTTGGAAAAATAGATTTGATTGTCTAATGTTTTAGTGTCTTGCTCTGGCAGGTTAAAAGATGCCCAAATCGTATTTTTGATCATATCTCAATTTGTTTCAAATGGAACGAGGGTGGATCATTAGCATATTTCGAAAAATATTTTTTTTACAAATAATTTGATACCACACACTTGGTACTTCGAGTCAAATTGTCGTTATGAACCGCATGTTACAATTTCAAATAAACCATATGCGAAAATATCAAAAGTTGACATGTGATATGTCATTCTATTCAGAGTGTCATTTTCTACCGAATAAAGTAAAAAAATACTGAGGGTGCGATTTAAAAATCAAAAGTTGCAGTAATTTCCGGTGAAACCGGAAGTGACCGAAAACAATTGAATATGTCAATCAATCCTAATTTATGTCATATACTAACATACCAAATCTCGTTGTTTTATCTGAAAAATTAAAAAAGTTATAGGGGTGATCGACTTTTGAGACGCACCCGGTATATTTATCCGTTGCGTATCTGAGAGACTAAATTTTACGACCTACATCGACAATGCTTCGAAATAAACTAAATCAGGCGATCAAGCGAATCGCTCGCCGCTTACTACTTGCCGTTCATTACCGAAAGAATATGTGCCCTGCGCTCGAGTGATCACTCGGTTATTGCAATCGCTTGATATTCGAGTACTTGGTTATTGAAATTAATCGGTTTTTCCCATCACTAGTATTAATTAGTTTCCAGAACCGTACTAAAATTTTTTTGTTCAACGATTGTGGAGTTCGTCAGTTAGCAAGCAAGGGATGGTTCGCAAATGTAAAACCGATAAAAAATGAGTTTCAAATGAAAATAATATCAAATTATTAAGTCATGATAAAGTAAACATGAACACAAATAATGAACACAAGTGAAAAATAGGTAGCTTAAAAATTACATCAAACAACATCAACCAACCTCGAAACCAACTTAACTAAATTGCAAAATGCCCATAAAAACATAACACAAAAAAAATAACTAATACATTCAGCAATATTATACTAAATAATAAAATAACATTTAAACTTCAATAATTATTGCTAATAAACATTATAGAAACTTCAAAATAACTTCAGAAGTAAGGACAGTAGTACTGATCATCATCACTATTTATTTAGAAGTTTGATTTCGACCGCTAGAAAGTATTAAGTCTTTCGCACGTAACAAAAATATGTTTTTAATTATTATTACCGAGTCCCGAAAGTACCGAAAGAACCGGGAATTAACAATTTCGAGTCCCGGTTCTGTGATGTCTCAAAAGAACCGGGAATTTCCGGTACTTTCGGTACCGGAAGATTATGACAATATGACAATGAAAAGTTGCTTTCCATAACAATGTTTAATTTGTACATGATTTGTACTTTCTATACCGTATAAAATTCTGATTATTTTCGAAATACGTGCAACTTTTACTGCGCATGCGCAAAGTAAAGTCCTTAGACAAGACAAACCTATTGAACGTTTCATAAGTGCAATAAAGAAGGTTTGAAAATGGCATGTCATGATGTTGGAGACATATTTTTTAATACTAAACTTATAGCGTTGATTTATCCACTAAGTATATATGATCTAGGAAACGAAGTTATATTACCATAGAAACTCCGTTTTGATTTTTAGGATTTAAAAAATTCAACACTATTCTCATGTTTTTCTTAATTTTCTCTGAAACGGTATGGAAATTTTGAAAAGTATAAGCAGGGATAAACCATTTTATGACAAGCAATTTCTTTTATAAAGAATGCATTTTTTTTAGTATAGTTTAATTTTATAAAGCTCCTAACAAGATAAAATAAAAAAATAATATATACAGGGTATCCCATTAAAAAAATTCAAGTTTGGGTCATATTTCAAAAATGACCGCTCCCAGCGAAAGTTTAGTTATGCAACTGAATTTTAAGTGAAAAACTCATGGGACCCAGTTTTCACCTTTTTGATAAGCTATAAAATAACCGAGATACGAAGATGGTCGAAAAATGCAACATACTTAAATTCGCCCTGTATTTCAGGAAAGAGGAGGGCTATAACAAATCTGTGTGTAATATTTTTAGTTTCATAAAAAGTAGCAGTGATGTGAAAACCGCATCTTTGTAGCCCTACTCATAAACAAGAAACCCTGCAAAACATACGAAAAAGGGACACCCTGTCCAAGGCGATGCCAATTTTTATTATTATAGCATGCATATTTAAATATATATCACAACCAAAGATTCTAAACATATTTAACCCTTATAATAAATGCCTTTTTTAGGTCCAAGAATTCAAGAATTAAATAAATTACCGGGTACTCCATAAGAAAAAAAAAAGAATAAATAGATAGGATATAAACCTTGCTCATAAATTAATAAAATGTGATCAAAAACTTATTTAATCAGGCTTTTTACTATTACAATTATCATGAGAAATTGGATTAAATTTTAAATGTGAATGTCAAAGCTCGCTTAATCATACAAACTTACTTCACAAAGTAATAATTATATATAATTATTAAAATAAATTTATTTGTACTTACCCCTTTACAGTTTTCAAAAATGTGTTATCCTTGGGGAGATCAATTGTCCACAAAGTCAGGCAAAATTCCTCCTCATGAATATTGGACCACTCATATGTAGGTATTACTTCTCTCTGATGGTATATTTCCGCTAAAAATAATACAGAATTAAAACACAAATTTTAAACATTACTAATTAATTAATTATATCATTAAAACTTTAATTCTCATTATCAAGGTGTTTTACTTTTAAACAGTTAGGGGAGAGTGGGTACAGTTGTAACAGTTTTTAGAAATTTATTTTTCAAAAATAGAATAAGAAATTTCGCGAAGTGTACTTATTATCTTTAGATAGCCTAGATATTTATCATCAAAATGCACATAAGAAATCGAAGGTATATTCACCTATGTAGTCTTAAAAAAGGCAACAGTGGTGTGATGACATGTGTTACAATTGTACCCCGCGGTGGTACAGTTGTAACATAGAGGAGGGACAAATGTAACGTCTTTAGTATATTGATTTTTCATCTGAAGCAAATAAAATTTTAGCTCCTAGAATCTGACAAACGTTAAGATATGATTTGGATGCATTCAAACAATAATAATTGCTAGAAAATGAATGCCAACTTTTATTTACAATATGTGAAAAAACTGGTTCAGACAACAATCTTCAAAAGTTATACCTATTCTATAGAATTTTTTCTAAGAATAATTCTAACGTAGTCACAATCGTAGATTTTTCCAAACAGCGTTCTAAAAAAAACTAATGCGCCTATAAAAAAATACGATATTAAAAACAAGATAATTAAAAACTTTAAAAAAATATCAACTTGCGAATTTCCCTTTTTTCCAAAAATGCTTTTTCTTGTTCGGGGGATAAAATTCGAGTATGTGGATTGTAACCACTTTAGGAGTTTCACCAGCTTGTATTTTTTTTAAATAACGGAAAAGTGTTACATGACCGAGGTCCAAACTTCTAGCAACTTGCCGAAATCCAAGATTTTCGTTCACAACCAAACCCGCAGCACTTTTTATAAGTTGTTTTGTAGGTCCCTTATCACTATTAATTATTTTTACTTAGGCATGTTAATTAAAAAAATTAGTACATCTAACGAAACAATGGGTAGGTATCATTGTAACATGTTACAAAAGTACCCTTTGCAAGTGTTACAATTGTACCGAACTGACAACCCTGCACTTTTATTGAAATTAAAAAACTAGAGCAAAATTTACCTTAAACTGAACCCATATCATGTTAAATATACATGCATAGGCTACAAAAGTATATACCTACATTGACTGTAAACTATCAGATATGATAGTTATTTAAAAACTGATAAAATGGCTTAAGTTTTGCTTTTGTGTCGATAAATAGATATAGCTCTATTGTTATGTCACTGCACTATTGCAAAAGTCTCAACTGTCGTCAGATTGTACTGAGTCTTAAACTTGAATAACTGACAAGGTGCCATAATAATGTATTTGAATTTAAAAAAGTTATGGTACCTGTTACATTTGTACCGCGTTACAATTGTACCCGCTCTCCCCTACTAGTGAACTTATATCACATCATAACCTTGACCCTGATTTTAATTGTTTTTTTTGTAACTTAAACTTAAAAAAAAACATTTAAAATAATCAGTGTGGAGGTTATAGGTGATTTAAAAATAATTCATAAATATATAAAAGTTTATGAACAGATGGCTCAAAGGCACTGACGACCAGCATTTGATTCAATGTTATTTTATTTAATTAGAATTCGCTCTGGGGTTGCCAAGATTTTTAGAATATAATAAAATTTATTTTAAGAAAGAACAATGGGCAATAAAGTACATATTAGCTTGAAAAAATCTGTGTATTTCACCACTGACAGGGAACCTACCTAATAAATGTTAATTTATGTAAAATACAGCTTGTGAACGTTAGAATTTTCAAGACAGTGGTATAATTTATTACAGTTGGGGGTTGGAACCTTTGGTGTTACCACAGGGTTATACCCTATTCGTTTGAAAGACGAAGTTATAAAAGGGATTGTGGTAAACCCCTAGGACATAAACCAATGATGGGCGGACCGTTCTGTTTCGTTTACCTGATGGGTTCATAATCTATTTATAATGTAATAATTTACTTTGCATTTTATAATTTGTAACAATAGAGTCTTATTTTAATAGCAGGTTCTTTGCCTACAATACAGTTTATCTATTGTTATAAATTCTAAAAATTAAAGTGATAATTTACTTTACCTTTTATAAATAGCAATAGATTATAAACTGTATTGTAGATATGAAAGGTGTTATTAAAATAGGACTCGCAAGAAATAGTAATAATAAGGACGAAAAAATTAACTTTCATGAGAAATAAACTGTCAGTATTTTATAGTCAGTTTATATTCTTATTTTACACGTAGTGTATCAGTTCGAATATTAAATATGTCTTCTCCAAAACGTCAAAAAATTTCGGCTTCAAGCTTAAATGAAAAGATCATCACTAAAGACCAAAAAAAATCCGTGCGAAGAATCGTACACGGGTATTTCATCGGAAAAAAAAACTTTAGACTTAATTCTAGAAGCTGCTAAGAGCGACCCGCAGATACCTGCAATGGGCAGGTCAAATTGTGGGATGTTTTGAAATCCATCAATTTTAGTTGGGAACAATTTCAAAGAAAATCCTTGTTAATAGAAAGGGGAGAAATAGTACGGTGGAGAAGAGATTATCTGAGAAGAATTAGACATCAGCGTTCCGAAGTAAAACCTATAAATTTTTAGACGAAACTTGGATACATGAAAGGCACAGCGTAAATAAGTTTCAACAAGATAAAAATGTTGTTACATCCACCATCTGCAAAAAGAACGCCGCTTAATCATAACACATATAGGGAGTAACCACGGTTTCGCCTCCTCACATTCCAAATGATAGGTTTGATATAAAGGTTCAATAATAAAATTGTCATGGATAATGCAAGTTAACATTCCAAAAAAGTTGAACGTGTTCTCAGGATAGGACGGCTTAAACGTGATATACAATCTTGGTTAAATCAAAGAAATCTAGTATTTCATGATGACAATGTTAAACGCGAATTAATAAAATTAGTGGTTTACCACACCAAGTTTTAACAAACAAAGATAAGTATAATAAATACGCTATTGACTAAATTGGCAAATCTCGGGATATAACTGTTCTTCGCTTGCCACTATACCACTTTGAGCTGAAGCCTATAGAACTTAGGTGTTTGGGCTCACACGTGAAAAATGCCTAGAAATAATGTGGATAGAAATAATATAACATACAAATTAGCAGACCTTAAAAATATGTTTGCAAAAGCAATACGAGTATCTAACGTGACTCCAGAAAACTGGCAGAAATGTGTTGAACGCGGAATTAAAGCAATGGATCAAATTGTAGAAGCGTTAGTGATATCACTTGGTTCAGATGATATGTCAGATTTTAGTTCAGATATGTATGAAATGTCGGATATAGAAGACGTTTAATATTTATATTATTTTGTTGTTTAGATTTGAAAATTAATTATTTTAATACATATTTTGTATATTGCCTTATTATTAATATCAGGAATTTTATGAAATAATTGACTCTTACTAAAACTGTTTTAGCAAATAAATAAATGTTTTATAAAAGTTTTACATTAACAAAATCTGTTTTTTTTTGCAGATATCTATGTTCTACCAGATAAGGCTACTTTGCATAATTTTAGATTATTTATTGCTTCGCCTTCCAAACGAATAGAACTTTTTATTTTGTACATTTTTTTTTCAATGGCAAAATACATAGACTATGTTCAAGAAACGAGCTCGTCACAAATGTAAAAGACGTTTATCACTAAGTATACCTATATAGTTTGAAATGTAAGAATTCTTGCGATTAAATAGTTTTAGATAATAAAATACATCCCCATTCAACATTCAAAAAATAACAAATAGGTATATAAATAAAACACAATTTCACTAAATTATAATTTAATGTCGATCAGACGAACGCATGTGAGTAGAATGCCAGTATGTATAGTTCAAGAGCCGGGTGCAGAAACCTGCAGGAGTTTTCTGAAGGCTCATAGGTACGAGGCAAAGGTAGTCAGCAGTTCCGGGACACCTAGCGCTGAGAAGCGCGCAAAGGTGTAATTTTAATTAACACCTCCACACTGTTTTCTGAAGGTTGAACATTTGTAGATAACATTCGAATGCAATATAAAACAAAAATATAACAGTCAGACACAGCAGTATGAGGATACAAAGCGTCAGCGCTACCTCAAACGCGCTGTCAAAAAAATGCCGCTCAAAATTCTTAATAGTAGATTATTTTCTTTTATCTATGCTCAAAGTGATTTCTGAAGGTTGAAACTTAGCAAGGCATCACTTAGGGTTATTATTATTATTATTAGGGTGCCCATAGGAAGTTATTTAAAAAAAATGAGTTTAAGTGTGTGGCACTGAGAAACCAGCATAACTAAAAAGTAGAAAATAAATTTTAGAAAAAATACTTTTTTAAAACAAGCTTTTATTTAAATACACTAAAAAGAAAACATAAGCTTTTTCTTTAAAACTTTTATTATGAACTTATAACGTCATTACACAATTTTAATATTATAAAAAAGCTTGTTGATAGATTTCAGTGTGAAATGTTAGATTTCAGTCTGAAGTTGGGGGACAACTAAAATTTGGTAGGAGAAATTTATAAAGATGAAGAAAAAGATATATGTAAAGATATTTCAGTTAGCTGCTACAGGGTATTCAAAATATATTTATGAATTTCAACTACTTAAAATTAAAAAATCTGAAATTTTTTAAATGGCAATCCCTATATATTATCATTTTTTCTGAAAGATTTTACGAAATTTTACAACTTTTATAAGATATATATATATATATATATATATATATATATATATATATATATATACATGCAATCCGCCTTTATCAAGACCGAAACGTACCACGCGCCATCATTACGAAGCCCGATTTGGTTTTAGGAAGCCCGATTTCGGGCTTCGTAAAAACCGCGTGTATATATTTAATATAGGCATCAGGAAGGTCATCTCTATCGATAGCCGAAAATTGGTCGGGCTTCATAAAATCTTAAAATATATCAAAATATACACCTCTAGTACCCATGTATGTGACCTAGGGGGCGCGTAAG